ATGCATTTGAACGGCTGCAAGGCGCGGCAAAGCTGTTAGTCTACCTGGCTATTGAGTTTAGAGATCCGGATTGAATGCCAACAGCACCAAAAATTTCCAATAGTAATTAGTGGTTTTAGAAAAAATATTTTCACCTTGAAACAATAATTTAGATATCTTAACATAACTGTCCATCTAAGGATTTTTTTTTGTGATCTAGCATAAACGAAGTAGTAAAGTAAAGATATAAACCTTTGGAATTTCTGGTGTTTTGCATATTCGCTGATTATTACCTTAAGCCACCACTACACGGCAATGCTAATAGTTTTCATAATGTGTAAATAATTCTCTGTTTTATTTCCCAGGAGATTATTCATTGGATATACGAGAAGTGACTTTGGACGACGATGCTTCATACCAGTGCCAAGTCAGCTCTGGCCCGAGAGGTGAGCAGTATATATATATTTTTTAATTTTAATGTATAATTTTTTACGTGGTAAATCTACAATGCGGCTATATTTATTTGAAGCACGACCAGCAATACCAGCGTGGAGCAGCAAAATAATTCATATTCAAATTTCATATGGTGAGTATAGAGAACTGTATAATTGCGCCACGAGTCGTGAGCCCAATTTTTATTGGTCGATACGACGTTGACCACGCTGACGCTCAACGCGATTGGTTCGTCAGCCGATTCTCGTCGTCTATTGGGTTCGCACGTATCATTCAACTACCGTACAATTGAGAGCAATTTTAGTGATAAGTTTTTTAATTAGTTTATTTTTGTTAATTGTAGTGTTACCTCGTTGTTAATTGTTGTTTGTGTATTTCTTGTTTTTTACGGTTTTTGATATTTCTTGTTGTTAATTTTTTTTGTTATAATTTGAGCATTCGGAGTTTGGTCTATATATGCAGAGAAGAAAGAATTCGGTGTTAAATAGACAATCGAGACAAATGGTCTATTCAGTGTTTTATTACATGAAATAATTAGGTATTGCGAAAACATGATAGACGTTTATAAACAGACTGCTGGGGCGACTAATGTCTACGTAGCTACTGTACGGCGTATAGTTAAAGGAGTTAACGAATCAGAATTTAGAAAAAAAGTCAGCGAAAATATTCAATTATGAATTGAAATAACAAAAGTATCTCATAATTTTGGCCGAAAGTGTATCTAGGCTGGCTTAACCCCCACCATAGTTCATCTGTGCTCACGTTTCGTGACGGCAACTATACTATAACTCTTTTTAATGATAATGAGGCATTCCATCTTATTATCAATATTGATGTAGATGTCTACCGACCATAGCGTTTTCTTATTGATGGGTGGACTATATGTTAGGTGGAATATTTGACTTTATAACAAAAGGTATTCATCAGAACTTATGATTAAACTTTAGGTGATCAATGCGTAGTAATACTTAGGATATTAGAAATCGTGCTTGATACTTACTAGAAATAACTAGTTCAGTATAGTCAGCCATCACTTTCGACACAAGTTTTTCTATAAATATGTATATAATATTATGATTTGGAGCCTCTTGAAATCTGCAATCCAACGATCTAATGGATATCCTTATACAACGCTCATGGACACTAAGTTTTCTCCCTTTTCTCCTTTTTTACACGTTATTCACCACTAGGAATTTATCTTGAATTGAGGAGGTACTTATGCACACGGTTCGGTAGCGAAGTGGTTAAGCATATTCTGCGATGCGGGGCCGCGGGTTTAAATCACGCACGGAACAAGTGTATATATGGCCTACAAATAATTATTCCGCACCTGGATATTTATGTATGGAAAACGCCCACGAAAACGTTACTGCATAAAATCCGAGTGGATGCTAGCGTTTTTTTTAAAGAGCAAAACATGATAACAGTTGTGTAGAAATAGATCTCCGTGCTTCCATGAAGTAGTGGTTTGGCAATGTGTTGCAGAGCTAAGGGCCGCGGGTTTGATTCCCGCACCGAGCAAGTATTTGTATGGCCTACAAATAATTGGTCCGGTTCTAGATGTTTGTTCGACATTTATGCATGTAAACTGCACGTACAATATAGGAGAAAATTCTTGAGTGGAGGTAACGTTTTATTTTTTTTGAACAGAAAAGAAAACTCGTTCATCGATTTTTAAACGTGTACCTTGTGTAACGTGTATCGTTAATGAAGCTGTGTAAAACTTACATCAAATTAAAAAATAAAAGCTTGTTTTATTGGAATAATGGGAATCCATTTTACAAATTTGTTTTATTTTGTGAAAAAATTGAAAACAAAGCCAGTAACCGCGAGGACATCTTTGAAGTTGGATGTACTGGTTTTTTCAAAGCTCTTTTTGCTTTAGTACTAATACGCTTGACAATTTCAGAAGAATAAACAACAAGAGGACCTTACACAATGCCGCCGGCGTTTGAAAAATCTAAATAAATTGTTTATTCTTCCTGGGCATAAAACCAATCAAGACAATTTATGCTTCAGAATAATTATTCTTACAAACCATCACAAGCCTACTGCTAAATATAGACTGCCACATGAACCACCAGCATCCATCGACTCCCATGTTTCACCAGATTTCCCCTTCATCATTTTTTTACATGGGGGAAATTATTGTGCATACCCGCTTCGCGGGGGCACGGATGGATTATGTCAGACTTGCACCGACTAAAGCCCCATTGTCTTTCACATTAGTCGCATATTGGCATGGCCAAGGGCTCTTTCGCATGTACCCACTGCCTCACTAGCACCGTTTTCCTCATGGCACCTCCTCTTTGGGAAAGGACATGTCATGTTCTCCTTCCTAGGTAAGACGCACGTACGTGGAGGCCATGGGTTTACGAAAAAATGAGCACTCGAAAACATCGGCTTTCCTGACCCCAGCGGTGCTTCTGGTCTTAAGCTCCATTGTAACCTTTTTATTAAGGGGAAGAGGTTGACGGTGAGGTGAACTAAGGTTCATCGTGGGTAACTAAGCCACGGTCAATAAGAACCCCCAACGTTGACAAGGCGGGAACTGGTTCGGAGGTTGTCCCTCCATCTAGTGCGGGGTCACTCAACGTTTGCATGATAATATTCCTTACTGAAATTATATTATTTCTTACTGATATAAATAACACGCGAACGGCGTTGCGGCCATTCGCTAGTTATCAGTTAAAACAATAAATCAAGCTTAATTAGGTAAATTAATAGATCTTCGATTACGTGCCGTGCAAGTTCAGGGGTTTCATAGTAAGTGAGCAAATCCAGTTCAGTCTCCGCCAGCGTTATTGAAACCAGTAATTGCAATTTTAGTATAGATTTACCACGAGATCAGCAGTGAAACGATCCGCATGTAAGTGGTAACTGACGGTAGGAATTCTTTTCTTTTTTTAAGTCTGTCTGGGTCCATCTGGTACCATACTCTTATATATTTTTGCATTGAGCCAGCAGTGCGTGTAGTGCTGTATTCACTGCAGATAGGGTATAAAGAGCTAGTAAAATAACACGCTGTGAGGCATTCCATCTTAGTCCTCAGAGGTGACAACGTACAAAGAAGGCTACTGCCTTCTTTGTTGTGATTTGGTTACAGGTGTCCATGGAGCGGTTATTCCACTTGACAACAAACTTGCTTGTGAATTCATTCAATTTTAAATATTTCCAACATTAATGTTCTTGCGAACAACTGTGAAATGTTTGCTAAGTTTAAATTACACAATTGTGTAGCGCTACCAGATTTGTATTCACTTGGCGAATTTGTTTACACTTTCGAGGGAGTTGAGGATTGTAGACACCGTCAATATTAATAATTTTTAAAATATATATTGTATGTTTATTTAAAAAACCCGGTGTTGAAATATTTCAACGAATTTTACTCAGTCGAGTCAAATAAATTGAATTTACTTTATTGACGCGTTGAATATTGAATTTTATTGCTTTGAATGTGATAAAATTTCATGTTCGTAAAATTATTTAAAAACGTAATAAAAAAAATTATGTTCTCAATCACATAACGTTTCTTATAAATAATTTAAATCTTCACCTGTCGCATGCTTGAAAGAGACCGCTCTTTAGCGTTAAGGCAGTCTGTTTGTACATTTATGTGGTTGGTATAAATCGTCATTCTACATTTTGTATAAACTCATATTTTGTCATTAATATTTAAGTTTATTCAAAGTAATACGCACACTGCTACTTGGCAAATGAAATAGACTAGAGGCAGTCAATCTAGACGAATTTTAGACAGAAATTGTGCTCTATTTTATAACTAGATAAGAGAACCTGTATTATTAAACATAATGTAAACCATTTCATCTTATTCCTTACGGATAGCAATGCATTTATTTCTTCTTCATTTGGAGTTGTTTGCAGATGTCTATAAGCTTCATGGAAACGATAGATAGATAGAAAATTCTTTATTGTCCTTAAAAAAAACGACCGACGGAAATATGCGTAAATGTAACAATTTATGAAAAGTAAGCTACTAACAATCATCATCATCGTGGCAGCCCTTCACGAGAACACTGCTGAAAATAGACCTACCCCAAGGAATGCCACAAAGCACGGTCCTGAGCCACCTGCATCCATCGACTTCCGCATTTCTTACCATGTCGTCACTCCATCTAATAGGGGGCTACCCTACTGGACAATGTTTACACAAAATTTTTACTAATATAAACCAAAGAGATATGTATTTGTCTATGATTCATTTGCTTAAAATATTGATAAATAACGATTTGATCGTACTCTTACAGCACAAGTTTATTACGTAGTTGTCAGAAGCATGCTTTCCATAAATTTATAGATTTACGCATTATTCTGTTAGTCAAGCGCCGAAAGAATTCTCACCAACTTTCACAATGACGATCGTTGTCGTAAAACTTGTAGACATCATAGAATAGAATAGAATAGATATTATAGAATAGAATAATTTATATTCAATAAGGATTACATGTAATTCTTATTGAAAGTATTTTTTTATTTTACCACTGGTTAGGGAAAACACCTCCGTCCTGGGAAGAACCAGTTGATAAACCCAGAAGACTTATGGTGGAAACTCATTGACGTTCGAGTTTCATAAAACACACTCTTGTTTTAAATCTATTGATAAAATAGAACCACGCCCCGAAAGTATGTCCACTACCACCAACCGCGTCCAGCGCTTTTCTGCCCAGCGGGTCAAGTTGACTTTTACAATCGTAAATGCATATGATAATTTATAAAATAAATGAAATCAACATTAAGTCAGTTTATTGTCGCATCATTAACCTAAGTATGTAATTACTCTATGAACTTAGTTAAGTATGTACGTACTCTAAGGACTTACAGTAAATAAAACAGTAAAGTAATTTTTATTTTATAGATTTGTATTAGCGAGAATGTCAACTTAGCTAACCGTACTGCTAACAATCCTTTATTCTATGCGTGACGTCTATCTCATTTTTTGCACGCGGGTTACTGTTCGCTCGCCACTTAGGCC